TATAAACTAAAATAGGATGCGATTGGCTTTGTATACTAGTCAAGAAAACGTAGCATTATACTAATGGCAGCTGAAGTGACCGTCTGCACAGTACTTTATGGGAACATTGTTATAGACAAACTATAAAAATATTGTTACAATGAGGATGAGTAATAATGTAAATAGCCTTAACCAAGGATATTTCTTTGTGAATTAATGACCAACAGGGGTTAATGGTCATTGGCCTCACCTTCGGCCTCAATTAATCCCTGAACTTCAATTATTATTGCCTAATTGACTTAAGTTTCATTTCATTTTAACATTTCAAAGTGATCTGCCTAGAATCACACTGACAGAGTTACATGGTCTCTGTAGATGTGCACTGACATGGTTTCAATATTGTTACATTGTCTCTGTACACTTGCATTGACATTTCATTTTGTTTTGACATCATAATGCCACATCCATGGATCTGTGCAGATGATATGGGATTGTTCATAGTAGGTTAAATCCAGTCCAAGATAGTGGGGAAACTAGCATACGGCCTCCAATGAATGCTAGTGAGCAGAATTAAATCATTTTAAATAGAATTGTTGTGTATTTTAAAGCAAAAACTCAGAACAAAACTAGTGCAACTATGAGTGACTGGTGCCTGCTTAATCTGGGGGGGGGGACACCGGCCCTGCTGACAGTGTTGGTGTCAGCTGTCGGGGGTGTACCCCCTACCAGTCGCCTATGAGTACAAGAAATTGATAGAGAAGACTCATTTAGAGTTGTGACAAGAATTAAAACATTTGTCACAGCTGTAAATGAATCCTCACTATTAAAGAAGCAAGTAGCCTGAGAGATATACCAACTAATTTTATTAAAAATTCCCTAAATTAGTATTACATATCATGTTTATTATAGGCTGCAAATAAATTATGCATATCTTGTACATTCCCAATAATATTGAATAAAAAAACCTAGTTGTACACTGTACAATGCAATTCTAAATCAAGAAAAAAAATCTTGTAAAAACTGACATTGTTAAGCCATGAAAATGAGTCTTTGCTATTCCTCCCTCTCCCCCTCCCCCCATGTGGAAAAGTTTAGAGAAGCTGTTTGAAGTGCTTTGATCAAGCTCTGAAATAATTTTAGTGGATTACTATTGTACTAAAATCATAATTTATAGTAGCTGACCTAAGCTGCTCTTTGTATAACAGTCATCTATGAAACAATAGCAGGAAAGTGAAAAACACAAGGGGAACCAAAGCTGCTCTGTTTATTATTTAGCTCATAATTACATCTTCCTTATTTAATCTTTTGAATCCTGGCATGTTCTTAATAATACAGGTTCAAATAATATTTACTATACACAGGAGGGTTAGTTTTGAGTAACACATTTAGATTATCCAAACTTTGTATAACTTGTGACCTTTCCCTAACCTAAGCAAGGTCTATTTTATACAGATTGTACTAGATAGACAGATTCTCTATAAATGGTGAAGTTGCTGCCAAACTCCCATTGTTAGCCAGTTCATTTTTCTTAAGGCACACTTTAGGTTCCTATCTCAAAACTGTAACAACTTAAGTTTCTTCTTCTGATAGCTAAATAAAAACTTTGATTTTTGAGTAACATGCAAACTTAATAAATAGGACACTGCAGTCTAGATTGCTAAGGTAGGAGTAATTCTTCAGTTAAAATATGGGCAACTTGCTATTTTAAATTCATTACACAAAACTGTTAATTGGTCAGCATTTTTGTAACAAATATACACTATCTCTTCTCCAAAAGATAAGGGCCTAGGTCTTCAACCGCTATTCGCTTTTAAAACATTTACTTACTGCTGGCCCTTCTGAAGCTGCTGAGACAGTCCCTCTGAGTTCTGCCCCCGTTCTTCAAAAGAGGTGTGAATTGATTTAGATGATTTACTGAGACCTGAGAAAAGGTAAGTAGTACCCAAAAGTCTGTCTACCTATACAGTTGGTCCAATAGAAGATCTCAACCACAACAATTCTTGCCTCTCCCAAGAAGTGAAGACATTTCAGCTAACATCAAAGGAGGAGCTGGGCTCAATTTTGCCAAAGCTTAGCAGATTAAGGACCTAGATGTGGTTCACTGATTCATAGATTCATAGATTGTAGAGTCAGAAGGGACCACAATGGATCATCGTGTCCGACCGCCTGCCCCTGGCAGGAAAGAGGACCGAAGTCAGATGCCCCCAGCCGGGTGACTATCTAGCCTCCTCTTGAAGACCTCCAAGCTAGGTGATAGCACCACCTCTCTTGGAAGCCCATTCCAGATCCTGGCCACCCTTACTGTGAAAAATTTCTTCCCAATATCTAACCTAAATTCATTCTCAGCTAGTTTACACCTGTCATTCCTAGTCACTCCCTGGGGCGAGCTAGTAAACAGCACTTCCCCTATTCCCCGTTGACCTCCCCTAATACATTTATAGGCGACCACAGGGCCTCCCCTCAGCCGTCTCTTGTGAAGGCTGAAGAGATTCAGCTCTCTCAACCTCCCCCTGTAGGGTCTATCACAAAGGCCACTAATCATGCGAGTGGCCCTCCTCTGGACCCTCTCGAGATTCCCCATGTCCCTCTTGAAGTGCGGCGCCCAAAACTGGACACAGTACTCCAACTGC